ACTCACTGAAAGAAGCCTGCTGGGACTGGTATGCATCATTATTGAAGTCTTGCAAGCACTTTTTTTTTTAATACTCAATTTACCTGATATTTCTGATTGTGTGATGATTACATAGGAATTCTAGTTAGGTGTGCCTTTCATGGCTAATAAGTGCTACTAAAACAATTTTTATGCTTAAGCAATTGGATGCATATAGTGGAACTGGAGATGAGTCAGCAATTAACAAAAGTTATTTGAATAGCAATAGAAACCATGACTTCCACTATGAAATAGTCCACAAAGGTGATATCAAGTGCCTAGTATTTAGATTCTGTCAGGTCCATTATATGAATTGTCTTAAAACTCTTACATTTTTTAGAATAAGCATCATTCTACTTGATATTTGGATGTGTCATATTAAATACCCACTCTTTGGTATGGCAGGGAAGAATGCTTGTCATATCCTCTACTCTTCACAGTGAAGCACACCTGCCAGATTGACACATGCTTCCCTCTCCCTCTCTAGGGGAGTTAGGCACTAAAAATAGGAACTATTAAAACAAGCGTATGGAGTAAGGATCTTAAGAAATCTCATTAACAAGAAATACTGAAGGGAAGGAAAGGAGTCATCATTCCTCTCTCTACAGGAGTTAGGGCTCTCAGTCACAAGCAGGGACAGCACAGCTAGGGACAGCTTACAAAATTACTGTCCCCAGGACACTGATAGCTGAGTCACTCAAGGATAATCAGGTGCTGAGCCACAGCAGCTATCGGTGCACAGCATTAAGGCAGAGTGAGGTCAGTGACAACCTTCACAAGTTATTAACCACATTAACGGGGGTGAGGGATGCTAGGCCAGGTACAGGATGTGTGAGACAGTTCCCTGGTGAGGTACTGCTTCTCACCCACAGTCCTGGAGAGGAAAAGGGTTTTCAAGTTAAAACTCATTTAGGGTTCAGCTCTGTTGCCTCCACAACCACAGCTAACAAGCGTACCAGCCCCACTTGTGAATCAGCGCTTTTGGGAGCTTCACCTCAGACAGCAGAAAAGAGTCTTCCTTCAGGTAGAACTGATCTCCCTAATCCTTTCTGCTGGGCTCATTGCCTAAGACCCTTCATCACAAGAAAAGAAAAAAAGCATAATAAGAAACACAGCTGCTTGTGATGGTTCCACCCTCCCTTCTTACTCAACTGTTCAGTGGTTTAACATTCAGCCTGAATGATTTAGACCTACTTTTAATTCTGTTAGCTTAGCTGAGAGGATTCAAGACTGCATCACTCTAGCCCCCACCCAAGTGACTCAACTACAAAGTAACTGAACTTAAAAAAAAAAAAATAGTTTGTGGCTGTTATCAAGACTGATTTTGTTAGGACTCAAAACTACAGTTGCTCTATAAAGCCAGAGTTACTGGCTCCAGACAAATGGGAACTATAAGGCATTTCTGGATCAGCAGTGAACCGAGAGGGGGTTAAGATTTCTTTGGAAGAGAAATCTGAGGCCTCTGAATTAGCCACCAAAAGTCAATTTTATCAGTCTCTCTGGCATGCTTTTTCAGAGCAGTTAAATGCCATAAAACCTGAGAGGGTAAAACAAAAATTCTCCTAAAGGCAAAGCTAAAGACAATAGTGTTAGTGAATTACAGTTCATCATCACAAGGCCAAATGGAATATAGGAATTGCTATACAGTAACATAACCCTAGCCCATGAGCAAAAACTAGCATTTAGCAATTGATGTTTATCGCTATAGAGAAACACCAGGAGACTCACGCTAAGTCTCAGTAGTTTAGTTTAAATCCCAGTAGTTTTGGTTTTCCATATGTAAACAATGTAAGGCAAACAAATTTGAATTTGGGGTAGATTTTTCAAAGCTAACGATACAAAAGAGCAAGAATGCTTACTGAGATACTAGGAAGTGCATAGGCAGCATACCTGTTTTTAGAGTTACAAAGAAGGCCATAAGTACTTTTAAATCTGATTTTTTACAAACACATGCCACATGTACGTTTATGCATACATGACTGTTAACAACTGCTTGCCAATATCTTTTTTACTTTCCTGTAATGAATGAATTTGATGAAAGAGCCAAAATTCAGTACATACCAAAAGTGTAATTTGAAAAATCCCAACAGCATTAGTTTTGGTTGCAATAGCAGCAGAGCTTCTGTGGGAACAGACAGTATTTTCCTCTGTATGTTGCATCAAATGAGCTCTTTGGGACTTAAAAAACCAACAAATTACATGGTGAGCCATTTGCCCCTTAGCTAATGTAGTGCTAGGGGCTATAATGCCACCTACTGATGGTTCTGAGTGTCGTCCTCAAGCCCCGAGCCAGTTCCATTCAAAGAAAAGCGAGGAGGATTCTGCAGACATTCCTGCGGTGCAGACGGAATGAGAGAGCCTGTCCACAGCTGGGTGGCTGGTTACGGAATGAGAGAGCCTGTCCACAGCTGGGTGGCTGGTAAAGACCTGGCTGGCTTTGCCTCCACCAGACACGGCAAAATTTGTTTCACTGATAATCTCCAAAAGTTATTTTTCCAGTCTCTGCCTCCTCTAAATGTAGTTTTAATATTTTCAGCAAAAAAGAAGCAGCTGAGAGAAAAGTTATTATTGAAGCAGTTGGGTTTTTCCCTAGTAAGCCTCTTCTCTGAAACTGTTTTGAACCCCTTTTTCCCTTCCGGTTTTTCCACTGTTTTCTTTCATATTTTTCTTCTAGTCCTACTGTTAGCACTCTGTCGCCCCTTATGGTTCCAAACAGTCCCCGTTCATCCCAATTAGCTTTAGGAAAGAAGGTAGAGAAGATGTTTCAGAGCTTCTACTTACGGGTATGAAAACCCACTTTAAAGAATAGCTGGGAAAATGAGCATGCCTCTATCGTACTCTCAGAGGATGATGATTCCCAGAGTTCTCATCTCCATACAAATCACATTAAATACCGAAAAGCTCTGCGCCTCCCTGTAACAAAACACAGCCACTCCTAATGCAGTAAGACACTAAACACCATATTATTCCCAGGTCATATTTCAAACAAGAGGAGTAAAATGAAATGAAAGTGTCAGAAGCATAGTGGTACAGCCAGTGATGTTTTAGATATAAATAAACCAGCCGCTGACAAATTTCACAGAATTTAGTTTCCTAAAAACTACTTGAAAGTCCTGTATCATTGTATTTAACATGCCCTTATATACCCAGCCCTGAGTCAAGGACAGATAATTTTACCAAGATACTTAGTTTTTAATCTATATATGGAAAAGAAGTTTTAACAACTGCGTTGAGGTTTCTACAACGGTCCCCCCTTGTGTTGGGGATCTATGGGTACCACCCATCAGTGTGAACAAGAGCATCAGTAAACAGCTATCATTTTAATAACCATACCATCTAAACCCACTTAAAACTGATCAAGTGAACAAGTATTACAACAACAGCCAGTGGGTATTAGCGGTTATATCACTGACAGAACTCTTGGAGCTACACAGTGTTTCCAAAGCTCCTGGGGAAAGTAGATGGGGGAAGCTCTGCTACGGAATCTGGAACACAAGGCACCTTCCGCTCTAGGGGCGTACGCTTCTTTGGACAAACCCAGCTGCACTTTACAGCATTTCTACTGGTTTGAAAGTTTTGACTTTTGACAAAAAGCATTTCCTACAGGGAAATACACACACAGTCTTTTTTGAACGGCTTTATAATGCCAATAGAGATTTCCTAACAGCACTCACTGTGCATGGAATTGGGATAGTGGCCCCAGAGTCATAATAAGCCATAATATATCAAACGTTATGGAAACAGCATTTCTATCACATTTTTTGCATTCAGAATTTCACTAGGATAAGCTAGAAAGTAAACTCATTTTTACAGCATTGGCCTTCTCAGAGGGAGCCAGTCCTGGCAGGATATCCATGAAATAACAGCGCGTCTCTAACACAAACAATCACTGTCCTCTCATGGAATTTATTAAAAATTCTGCTCTTCATAATAGTAGCCTACCAAGAAACAGCAAACACTCTCAGCCAAATGACATTTTCTAATTTTGTAACCGAAATCCTTAAGGGATAACAATGCAATTCTTAGAAGTGACAGAAACAACACTGATCACCATTTCTCTCAAGACCAAAAAAATAGAACCACAAGTATTCAGATAATGGCAAAGTTGCTTCAGAGTATTGTATCAAATCTGCTATGCATTCCATACCGCAAGAACTGCAGGATATAATTATGAGAAACAGGACTAAAACCGAATGCCTCCTCACACACAAGGCACCATTGTGGGGAGAAGCTCTTAAAAATAAATTGTATATTGTCTCATTTGGAAAGCAGGAATAACATTTTCAGATAGAAAAGAGCATAAAAGCAGCACACCTTCCTTCTCCCTCAAGTCCTGTTCTCACTTTGAGGAAAGATAGGAAGAGGAAAGAAAAAATGGCTGCACAGAAATATAATGAATTCTATATTCTCAGTGCTGCGTATCAGGCAAAAGGCATCACTCAAACACTCTGCTCACACACAATATCTTTTTTTAAGGAAACACTAGGATTTTCCACATCACCATGATAAGTGAGGTACACAATCACTGCAGTACAAGATTAGAATGCCTAAATGACTTAATAGTTAACATCATGACTGTATCCACCTGCAAAAGTGTGTACAGATATGATTAGATAAACAGTCCAGTCTTGCTTTTCTAGCAAGAAAAGATTTAATGATATACTCAATGTAACAGTGTTTTATTTGAAAAATTACCATTAAAAAGTAAAAATCTAGCTAATACTGCCATTTTTACCTGGGTCTCTATATTCATTGATCTTTGTCCCCAAAACCTCTTATCACTGGAAGCTGTCCCCTCTCCCTGCCCATTTTCAGTCTTAATACGTAATGTGTGCCTGAGCAGAGCCAGAGTCCACAGAAGCAAAAGCTGGAATGCTAAAAAAGCATGCAAAAGGCTCTAACAAGAAAAAAGAAAAAACAAACCTTGAGAAATAAAGTGAATGGAAAAGAAAAAAGGTATCCGCAAGCATCCAGAGATTTGTTCAGTCAACCTTGTCTTTTGCTCCATGTTTAAGGATGTGCGTGCACTCAAACTCAAAGTTGAAATTCCCCTTTTTGTCAATTGGTGCCTCCCTGTACAGCTCATCTACCTCTTCATCTGTAAACCTGTCTCCCATAGTCGTCAGCAGCTCTCTCAGGTAAGTCTTCTTGAATAAACCTTAGAATGCAATTTAGGACATAAAAGGGAAGAAATTGTTTCACAGCAAGTCTCAAAAACAACTGGATGAATAGTAAGACAGTTACAACAGCAGACATGAAGTTAACTAATACAGCACGTAATATATGCAGAGCATTTGCACCAAGAGCCTGAAATAGTTCCTCAATTGAATTCTAAAAAAAACTCCTTTAATGCAAAGGGGAGGGAGAAGGTTTGATGCAGGTTATACAGTTTCTTGAAAAGAAAGCCTGATCTGCTGTGACCTCGTAATACCTATTTCCGTATAGTGATCTTAAACAACTCTAAGTGGAAAAACAAGTTCTTGAGGTAGGAATACAGTCACTGCTGTTCTTCATTATACAACATGCTCTCTTAATTGAATTATATTTTTCTTGACTTAATTAGAAATACTTGTGCAACCTCTATAAACTAGTTTCCACTAGAGACTAAATAACCAGTGGCTGGCTTTTCACTGCTGCACAATACTGTCGCTGGAGGCAGTTTACATGGATACAGTGAATTGCTGGCAAGTGTCCAGGGGAAGAGTTTATAACAGAACAGATTTTCAGACAGGATTGAGCAAGTTTAACTCAGAAGAAAGGAAGACTAGTTACTGTGGAGAGTTAGATACGGAGAAGCTAGTGAAAAAAGGTAGGATATATGAAGTTACTTATCTTACAAAATATTAGCAGAATTTAGGGAAATAAACACAAATATAAAAATGCGCAGTTAATGAGTTCAACACTGCAAAGGGAGTTCTGTTAATTCAATTTCAATAGATGAGCAGAACCACCAGTTGCCAAGTAAGTCCAGAAAAGTTTAGAGATTAAAAAAGGAATGTGCAAAATAAATGGCACACGCACGACTGCAGAATGCAGAGACTGCTTAATGTTGAAATAAGATGTACCATGCCTTAAAAAATGCATAATAATTGCTTCTTTTGAGGAAAAAAAGGTGTTTATTGAACTCTAGTTTGAGAAATACCAACAGAACAGAGGAGGTAAAAGCCTGCTCCAAAAAAGATATGTAAACTATGTAGGACAGCTGGAAATCATAAGTAGATACGCACAACGATTGATGTAGATTCAGTTAGGATATGATAAAAAAAAGTTCTGCTTTGGAAAGAGAGCTGAAAAACTTCAGCAGAGTTCATTAGAGAGAAAAACCAAACAGGGAATCAGGGGACCAAAAGGCAGTCAATAAGCATGACAAATTATCATGGGGTCGGTCTATGCTGCAGGAAAGGGAAAAAAAAAAAAGTTACAACATATGCTAATTAAAACAGCATCATCTTCCAGCGTAGACAAGCCTTGATTAATGACTCCAAATGAAGAAGACTAAAAGCTATGCTCTATGTTTAAAGTACACTTTAAAAAAAGAGGAGAATGTTCAGTTGGCCAGGCCCTTCTTAATCAGGTCAAATTTTACAGTTCTCTCTTTGTGGGTCAAGAAAGGAAAAGCATAGCTAAACAGATTAGGTTCTCCCCTTCTGCAGTGCTATAGGGATCAAACAGTGATGAGAGATGACATAAGGATTAGTATTCAAAGAATGCAAGGCTTTTGGTGCTGCAAGTTTAGCCTCAAGGATTTAATTGCTTTTGTCCGAATGGACAGGTATATAAACTCTGAACTAGGCTGCCAGACTAGCAATACACTAAAAGTTCTATCAGCACAAAATTATAAACCAAACACTACTCCCATCCTTCCCCAAATTAACTCACGCACAACTTCAATATAGACAAGGAGTAACAAACTAACGGAGCAAAATTTAAGATTTAGTGTTCGGCAGACAGCACAAAACAGATGACAACGGGGGATCAAAGAGCGCAGACAAAAGAAATACCAAATGCAGACAGATAAGCTTTTATACTGATTTCATAGTGCTACTGATTTATGTGACAGAAATGCTGAAGTAACATACCCAACTAGATTGGCAATATAGGAAACAGAAGCAAAACCCAACAAGTACAATAGCTTTATTCTCACAAAGAGGATCTGATTTGCATTGTTCCCCCTCAAAAGAACTACACCGATCTAGAGCTACAAACTAAGCCCATAATACACACACAGATGGAGATAATTAAGTGGAGGAAAAAAAAGGTTTAACATAGCTAGAACTGCTTTTTTTTTTTCATTGTAAAAAGGAACAAACTGACCAAAAGTCAAGTCTAAGAATAAAATAAATAAACGGCAAAGACAACACGGGTTCCACAAATAAATTACACATTGTTATGAAGAGTGCATTTTAGTTATTAAAGTTATTGTAGAATAAAAATCAACAAAACTTAGCCTAAATATCTAACTTGTTTCCTGATTAAAATTAGAGGATGGTATAAGACACAGAAGAGGCCATAGAACCATTATCCTAAAATCATACTAGGATTAGACTAAAACATTTATCACAGAGAGTTTAAAGATAATCAAATCAAATGCGTCAGTACAGTGGGGTTTGAACTAGTAACTTATTATTTAAATAGACATAGAAGGTGACTGTTGAAAAGAACCCCTAACACAGTCATTTTCTTTGTATCCTAATTCACAGGCTCTTGGTTTGGCGCATACAAAAACCCCTGTAGCACAGTGAGTCAGACTACCTGTGGAGAGAAAATAATTAACCTGCTAAGAAAACTTCCTTCTTTAGGAGATGGTAAAGAGATTTCCCTCAAGAGGGAGGAAGTCAATTAACATTTGAAAAGGCCTTACCAACAGAAAGCCTGTTTACCTACACCCCAGCAGGAAGTACCCTTACTCTTTGAAAAAGGCAAAAGGTGCTAAAAATACACAGACTGAAAATAGCTGTTTGAAATGGAACAAAATCCTTTGAAAGGTTCAGAGCACATTTCCACAGATTAGTTTGAAATACTGTAGTAGACAATTGTGAGAAAAGGTTATAGGTGCAATGACATCTGTAGTATACAGACACCGTAATCTCTGTATGCGCTAATATAGCTTGGACCCTTGATAACTAGAGGCCTTGACACGTTCACCACATGGCAAAGACGTGATATTCTGTAATTCCACAGAAATTCGTTAAGAAATTCATCCCTTGTTGCTAAACACTTCTCCAGAATTTTAGCTTCCACTAAAAAAATAAATAAAAGCATAAACTCTAATGTCACGATTATAGATGCAACCTTGCAAATGCGATAAAATAAATCCAAGCTCTACATTTTTCTCTTTTCTTTTTCCTTCAGTATGCTTGTCAGTCTAATTTGTCATTTCTGTCTTTCAGACCCACTCTGTTTATATCCTTAGATCATTAAGGCTACACTCTTCCTGTAACCTGAAAACAAATCAAACTGTGGACAAGAGCATGGCACAAGGCATTTGTCATCAAAGCCAAAACACAAGCTAGACAAGAAGAGGGCTTAGAAAAAGAGTTTACGTAGTCTGGCCAGTCTGTCTTGAAATACTAAATACTTCAAAGAATTCAGATACACATCAAATCCACTGTGTGGGGGGAGGGGGGAGGGAGGGAGAAACAAACTCAGTTGTATTGCAGATTTCAGCTCTGTCACCTTTTAAAGGCGATAGAAACTCATATATTACCTGTTTGAATTCCTCATCTTCTTAGAGCAAACGCACCTTATTTTGCACTTCGAGGAACAAGCATACTGCCTGCTTATAAGCACTACTCTTCAAGGCCCACAGAAAAACATTACCACTGGCGCTCAGTACTCAGACTGAACAGTCAGATTCTCATGACTTGGTAGAACGTGCCATCTAGAAGGATTACTGCGTAATACCTCACGTAAAAAGGTGAAAACACAGGCATACTATTTAGAAATCCAAATAATCAACCTAAAGATATAAAAGTCCTTCGTGGCTGAGTTTCACCCACATACCTGTCCGCTTCCTCATCAAAGCGAGCAAAAGTATTTCTGGTTACACCTTCTGGATCAGCACCCTTTAACTTCTCACCAAACATTGTGAGGAATATAGTGAAGTTTACGGGGCCTGGAGCCTCATTCATCATGGCATCTAGGTATTCATCTGTTGGATTCTTTCCTACAGATAAAAGGATTCATATTTGTGCTTTCAAACTAAAGAAAAAAATGTCACCTGAATAGCATAATACAAACTCAGACATCTCTCATAAGCTATCCCAAACTCAGTAGTTCGATCATAATAGCTCTAACTTGTTTGACAACTGTAAACGCAAAAGGAACATCACCAACGGAAATGAGCATATTGTGCAAGTTGTCTTCGTCAATGAAGCCATCCCTATTCTGATCAATCATGTTGAAAGCCTCTCTGAATTCTTGAATTTGCGACTGATCAAACATTGCAAATACATTGGAAGTGGCACGCTGAGAGCACTTCTTAGTGGTTTTTGTCTTTGGTCTTTTGCTAGACACGCTGATTTTTGGATGCTAGGAGAGAGGTAAATACAGTAAACGCAATAAAATCAGAGTTAAGATTTAAATAAAAATGGTACTAAGGTTTACCATTAAAGTTCACAGATGGAAAACATTTCTAATACTCTTTCCATTTCCTCTTATTAGAACCTTTTGCCCTAATCAAGAAGAAAGGGAGAAAGAGAGGCAGAAAATGCAAACAAATGACAGCCAGACCCCTAACAAAGACAAGCTACTAGATGTATGTCAAATGTAACTTTCAGTCTTAAAAGGAACAGTTTTGTCTGGAAACCCTTCTTCTTGATACATACATCTGCAAGAAGGGAACTCGTCTTGAGCGTAAAGGAAGAAAGTGAGGTTTTTAAAGCTATTGTTAAGTCTGTGAAAAAACTCTGTATGGATATGAATATATGTACATACTTCAACTATGTGCAGTATTAGATAGTAGGGGAATGAGTAATGGAACTCAGTTCACATGAACAAACTCTGAAGTACCAATACTTATGACCTAACAGCAGTAAGCAGTTGATTTTTTTTTTTTTTTAATAATGATGGGCCTGTCTATGTCTTTGCCTTGCTGCCATTATTTAAAAAAAATAAAAAAGAAATAAATTAGGACAACTGTGCAAGCTGTATTTCTGCTGATACCTGTAACTGCTGTCTCAACTTAATTTACATTTATCCATTTAAATTTTACCAGATAGATACAGGTCTGGCACACTTGAAAGCTGATTTCCGATGCCTATTCATTTAAGCAAAAGGGCAAAGCAGCCTCTTCACAGTGCTTTTACTTGTCTCCCTAGAACAAGCGCTCAAAATAGGTATCTTCACCTGTAGCACTGAGGCAGCCAGAGCTTGGGTCTGAACAGCAAACTGCAATGTCCTTCCTCAGTTATTTAATCATCCCCACTATCACTTAATCCACCTGTTGCTAAGACTGCTGAGGTTCCCACTGCAGTACTGTGGAGCAAGCTGAGAAGCTTTAAGATTTTATGAAGAATGCATGTGTCCTTTAGGCTGTTTGGGAGGGATGGAAGAGGACTGCAGGAAGGCATTGCACCCCCAGCTCTTCAGCCCAAGGTTTTAGTACAAAAGCTCGTCAGCTTAAGAGAAAGCAACAGCCACGCGCTTATGCCTCAGAAAACCAAAAACTGCCTCACAGCTACGCTTTGGCTGGGGCCTATACACGTGGAGAGAATAAAGCCTGGAGAAAACATTCAACTGTCCAGTGAGCACAAGACACGTGAAATCGCACTGAGGACAACGATTTTTTCCTCAGAGGAAAAACACACTTGGTGTGCTTAAAAGCCGCTTCCCTCTGGAACAACCGCCCCCTGCCCTGGACCGTGAGGGCGCGTCTCCATCCTTGCGCTGGGAGTCCGAAAGCTCCTGCAGTCCCCAGCGCTTCCCGCGAAGGCAGAGTCACTGCTTGTTCGTCGCTTGCTGAGAGTCCCCCAACGCGAAACGACGCCACTAAGCCCC